TCCTCGTGAGCGAATAGGGGAGAGCGTGCTGCGCCTATTAATCAGCTCCAAAGGAAATTGGGTGGAGCTTTTGCTCGGGAGGGAGGGCAGGAGGCATGCAGCCCGCCCCTCCCTGTGCATTTTGGGCTGGGGGAGGGGCGGCGATGGCGCTCTGCTGGAGGGGCGCCGGAGATTATTGGGGGGGCGGAGCCCCCCCAAACGAATTTTTGAGGGGGCTCGGGCCCCCTCAAGCCCCATGGAGTCGGCGCCTATGTTCCACACCCTGTTCTCTGGTGCTTGGCATAGTGTGGCCAAGTCACTCCATTCCTCCTGGCTTGCTCAGCACAAAATCTAAGAGAGGTCTGCAGTCCTTGGGTGTGGTCTGTCAGCTAGCATCATGTTATATCTGGGCTAATGGAGGTTCTATTATTATGCAGCTCTGATCCTATTTATCATACTGAAACACCACGACTTTTGTTTCAGCAGCGGCAAAGGGAGGCTAATGCCAGAAGCCATCTGGAGAGCATGCCCTGCAACATTTGTGGAATGGAAATAGGGCCATGCTTGTAAACACCCTGCTTCTCATGCCGAAGATTGCTTTGCGGGCTCACCCCACCCACTGCTGTTACACCTTGTCAAAGGACTCCTCGCTGTATGTCCTTGCTCTTTGCAGTGGTCCCTCCTGCACAGATTTCAAAGAGGGGAGATTTTTCTGTGCATAGGTTTTCAAGGGTACAAAATCCTATAAGAGCAGCTGAAATGCATCCCATTTGTATGCATGCACAACTGCATAACATTGCAAGCAGGGCCAGCTCTATCATTAGGCAAAGTGAGGTAATGGCCTGAGATTACAGATGCTGGGGGCAGCAGGCCCCTTGGTGTTCCTCCTAAGCTGTGTATGTTACATGGCCTGTCCTACCCCCAGCCCCCCACTCTGCAACTAGCCTGCTGCCACAGATGTAGCGGAGGATGCTATCTCATCTTCGGTGGTGAAGTTGTACATATCTTGCATTGCAGATCCTGGATTGAGCAGGTGTTCGACTAAATGACCCTGAAGTTGTATTCTCACTCAATGATTCAGAATCTAAGTGTTTTGTAGGATTGCAGCCTTAACATCTATAGCCCTGTGGGAGAGCCTGCAACTTAAATAACAGCAAATTTAGCAATTCACATTGAGAAAATAGGAACAAGGAACCACTAAGGAAACAAAAATAAGGACAGGGGACAGAAAACGGACTTTTACCTGAGTAAATAGGGACCTTTGGAATTTAGAAGCGTGTAAACAACATTTAATCTCTTTTTCTGGAAGCACTTTCCCCTTTTTAATATAGGTATGCATTTCTCCATAGCATTTTTAGCCCCCTCTTAAAACAACAATCTCCCAGAGCAACTTGCATAAGATATATGAAAAATGAATAGTATTATGAATAATGTATAATTAAATTAGTAAAAACAGGCCATTTAGAGACAGTCGGTGACAGCTGGCTCCCTGTTCCTCTCTAGCTCACAGGGCAGCTGGTTCTAGAACTGGTCGAAATTATTCAATAGTAAAGGAAGGGCATTCTGCACATGCTCAGATGCTTTCTCTGGCATTCAAGTAAGTTCTGCTCGTAGTGCCAGTAGGGAACCTTATTTTGCAGGGGAGGGAAGACATGAATTTGTGCAGGAAGCCCAGAGGGAGATGATTATTACACAGCACGCCTTCTATAACACCAGTTGCTACAAAACACTAGCACTGTCTACTGGGCTCTTATGCAATATATATACCTGGTATCCACAGCAACTCCACATGTAAGATTGCAACATATATGGGGGAAGAGCTGCACCCCACCACCAGGAGGCAACATAGCATCGCTTGGCTAAACCTAGTCATTACCTGAAGCCAGGTTCACTGTCGTGATGGAATGGTGAAAAGGGAGTGGTACAGAAGCAGCATCTTCCTGCAACCATAGCTGAGCATGCAGTTCCCTTCAACACACAGTGGTGTCATTCCTTTTATTTCCAATGTTCAGGCTACGAGTGCTGTTGCTTAAATTGCCAAAACAGCACTGCCCATGTAGAAGAGAGAGCTGGTAGCAGAGTTGGGAAAGGATCCCAAGATTTGCACAAATAAGCTGGTGAAAAACCCAGAACACAAAATGATGGCTGACTGTTGGGGAGGAAATGGGGAGGAAGTGGTGGTGGTTATGGTTGGAATTCTGAATGGGAAATGCTTTGTCCTACAAGAATTTCTTGGCAATCCCACTTGTGAATTCTGTTCAACCCCAGCTCAGAAGAGAATCAGTACAGTACAGTGGTTAGTTTCAACCCAGGAGTAGCAGCTCACTGAGTAACTTTGGAGCAGTCACCATCTCGCAGTCTAATTGACCTCAAAGGGTTATTCTGAGGATAAAAATGAAAGTGGAAAGGAGCCATGATGGCTGCCTTGAACTCCTCAGCAGGGAATGGATAGGGGTGCACTGATTAGGGTGGCAAACTTACATATCACAAAGAAAGAGGAAATGCATCACACACACAAAAAGAGGATGAAAGGAGAAGCAGAATTGCATGTGCTATTTTAGACATGTAAATTGAAAAATAATTAGTACAATTTAATACTGTACCTCTCACCACCATAGAGATTGTGACTAGGCGACCTACATGCATGCACAGTGTGCTGTCCAGACACTAGATATGGATGGGCAAATTCAAGGCCCCTGATCTCCCTTCTTAGGATTCATCTTTAAACTAAACAGCAGCCCTTCAAACAGAGGAGTGTAAAGTGGAACACAAAGCAACCCCATTAATGACTAAATATTCTCATTGTTCCATGGGAATTAAGAATAAAGAGACTTCTACTTCCTTTTCAGCCTTTAAAAAAAATGGCCATGGAGTTCCCAAGGCTGTTCCACATTTAAATGTTCATTACTCAACAACTTGCTGCAGTTTCCATTAAGCTCAGTTGCCCCGTGGAGACCTACAATTGTGCCGGTGTAGTGGGGTGGATGGTCTTGAAAGGCCACAGGAGCAAGTAACTGCCAATATCTTCCTAAGGATGGCAGGAGGCCAGCAGGTAGTTTCTGCAAGCACCCACAACAGCCAAAGAGGGAGCATAAGCCCGGTTAAGTGTCACGGAAGAGAGTCACTGGAGCCAAGGTGGAGGGGGGCACCCTAGGGAGATCTGAAAGGAAATGAGCCGATACAAGTTAGACGGCAGGCATCCTGCAACCTTGTGGGGCAGCTGCTGGATTCCTCTTGGCAGCTGAGCACAGCAGGGGGAAGGAAATGAGACACTGAGCTGGCTGGCTGAGAGCAACTGCTCTCCAGGGGCAAGCCAAGGGCACACAGCAGGAGGGCAACCAGCAAACTCTAGCTAGGCCCCTGGCTTTCAGTGGGCACTTGCCCTGCTGTTTCATCCACACAGCACATTTTACAGGCTTCAAACAAGCTCTCTTTCCCCTTGATGCAAGGGATAGGGACACCTCACTCCCATTGCGCTCATCTGCTTTGGTCAGCATGGCTAAGCCTGCTGCAGTGTGCAGCCTTTGTGAAGCTGGTGCCTTCCATGTTTTGAACTACAACTACAGTGGCTGTGCAGTCCAAAACAACTGGAGGCACCAGCTTCGCAAAGGCTGCCCTGTAGCGATGTTGGCAGAAATATAGGTGCTGCCACCACCTCCAGCATCAGAACAACAAGAGGAAGGACACAGCCTCAAATGGATTTCTCCAAAGGGAGGGGGAAAGGAGGAATCTGGAGAACAAGAAGTCGTAACACACTGAAAGGTGGACGGGAAACCATCTCTGCTCTGGTCTTGGCTGTAGATGTTCCTATGAAGCCACCTGCACACAGCACATCTCAGAGAGAGACTGGCCAAGCAATCCACACCCTACACAATCTGGCAGCAGCAACATGCACAGTTTTTCATTCCAAACCCAGAAAGGACCACTTGCTTTTGTCTTAAATGTCTTCCAGATGCCTCTTAGGGGATTAGAGAAAGGGAAGAGTGCTGTGGCTGTCAGGTTTAATACATCAAGCAACCCAGCACACAGCAGCAGCAGATGCAAGTAGAGTTCAGGGCTCTGGTGCACTTCTGTTCAGAGTCTGCCCTCTAGAGGCCATTAGAGGTTTCGTTTTGTAAGAGCCAACAATGCACAACTAGATCTGACAGTGGGAGATCTGGGATTGTGAGGGAAAGGGAATCTGGCTGGGACTAAGGCATTGTGGGAGGAGGTTAAAAGTTCCCTTCCCTTCCATTTTCCAGATGAAAATCATCACCCAAATCACTTTAAAGCTGCTGTTTGGTCCCTAGAGACCACCTGATTAGAGAGCATGTAGTACTGGTAAAGATTACTCTAGATTCGTAATCCTTCAGTTTTGACTGCTGCAAGTATTGGCTGCTGTAGGACTTACAAGCCTGCTCTGTAGATTACTTTAATTTGCAGATTTTGAAGACTGGTTATTCTTCAACACATCTAGAACCAGGACTTAGGTTGAATGTTGTATTATGAGTCATTTCTAATATGCTGAACATATAAAGATGCCTTATACTAACATAGACCATTAATCCATCTAGCTCAGCACTAACTCTGACTGGCAGTTCTCCAGAAACTCAGGCAAAGCAGAATCACTCCCATCCCTGACACTGATATCCTTTTATTCAAGATGCCAGGAATTGACCCCCAAGAGCTTGTGAATTGAAACAAATGTGCTCTCCTACTTGAGCTGTCCTTTCAGAAGACAAATCTGATTTTCTTTCTACTGATAATGATTCCCAAATGTTCTCAGTAGAGATAAAATCAGATTTGTCCTCTGAGTATTTAACTAGTTGAAAAGTGAAGTTATTTGAAGAGGTACTGAAGGGCTGATGGTACCCCCGCCCAGAAAAAGGTTACAACATTTTCAGAGCGGAGGGGTGCTGCATTCAGGATCCAACCGAATGTGCACTGAAACATTTTGGGCCTCTAAAGAGGTAAAACTGCTGCTCATCCTCACCAAGGCACAAAAGTCGGGGTGGAGGTGGAGAAAAATATTTAGCAAAGAGCATAGAAATGTTTTTTTTTTTATTGTAAACAGAGCTGTTCAAGGAGCCCGAGAATATTGCTGCGTGAACATCAGAAGCTGCTTTGCAAGAGGCAACCTATTCGTCAGTCTAGACCAGTGTTGTCTTTCCTGGCTGGCAGTGGTTCTCCAGGGTCGCAGGCAGTCTCACGTACTGTTTACCTGTGCCTTTATAAACTAAAGATGCCAGGGATGGAACACAAGACTTCTAGGGCAGAAGTGGGGAAACTGCAGCCCACCACCTGGAAGGGATGAGAGGTTCCCCGCCCTGCTCGAGTTGCAGAGCATGTGCTCCATCACATGGTCCCTCTCCATAGCAAGCAGTGAAACACTGAGGAGGTTCACAAGCACCCGGGGGCCTCATCCTAGGACTTTATCTCCTTGCACACCTTGCAAAGAGCCTTATTTTCCCCAGACAGCATTTTCAAGGGAAGCCACCCACTAAAAGTCCCTGGTTCTGGTCCTTGGGCATCGATGCAAGTCCTCCACTGTGAATCTGCATTACAAGGCAAGAATAAGCCATCACAGAAAGAGAAAACCCTTTCAGACAGAGAGATAGAAAAACAGGGAGCAGTTTCCAGAGGAGAGTGTAATCCATGCTACTGTAGGACGAGTGACTTTCCCACCCTGCTCCTTGCACTGTTGTGGTAGCTGCTTTTGGCACCCCATAGGAATATACTGCGTTAAGCAAAGGACACAGGCTTGCTTCTGTGGGATCTGTAAGAGAGCTTGAAATAAGAATCCAACCACCTATAAGGCTTAGCCTTAAACCTTCAAACCTCCTGGTACCCATCAGTGAGGAAAGACTGTTGCCCAGGAGCAGATTTCTACAATTCTGTTGGCCTTCAAAGGCAAAATGACTTCCCTGCAAAAGCTACAAAGATGATGGAATAAGCCCTCTCCCCCATCCACAAAAGGCAGGTTAACAAGGAGCCATGAACAGCCAGCTCCAGAGAGCAAGACAGATGACTCAAGATTAAATCCTTGAACATGAATATATTTGGAGAGTGAGCAGCCCACACATCCCTTCTTCTGCCTTGGCTCTTAGGATGTCTAAGCTGCAGTTGAACTGGTGGTTGAGTCCCATACGTGGCAGTCCTGATCATCCACGTGCCGTTTACTGGAGCATTTTCTGTGTGGGGGTTCAAATGATGTTTCACCAGACCAGGGTTTGGGGACAGGTGGCTCCCCACTGCTTTTGCTCACAAAGATGGTTGGGATCTTAGGAGACAGTTCCAGCTCTTCCACCCGCTGCCCTGCAGGTGGCTGACAGTTCTTGTCTTTTGGGTTGTGCGTGGTGTTCTGGTGCTTCTCTCCTCCCCCTCTGGAGTGGACGGTGGGGAAGGGGAGATGCCGAGCGTTGCTCTGGGAAGCTGTATTTGGGGCACTGCTCCCCAGACGCGTCTGAGCCACCGGGATCTCATCCATGGACTCGGCTGACTCGGAATGGTAGTCAGCTGGAGGACCTGCGGCCTGGACGGGACCGTTGCTGCCTGTGGGTGTGACGATTTTGGGAGGGGCAGCCGGCATGGGAAGGCGAAGGCTGGAGGACGAGGCAGTTGAGGAGGTGGCACCTGTGATGGAAAGTTCTGCAAACGTAAGAGGAGGAAGAGGGTGTTAGGAAATGATATTTCCCTCCTTCAGCAGCAACGGTGGGGAACCTCCAGACCACAGACCAAATTAAGTCTGGAAGGGCTCGTAATATGCCCTGTGAAGACATCTTCCACAAACCACACATGACCTTATATGTGGTATCAGATGTGGGCAGGTAGAGATGTGGCTGCAAATCAATAATTGGAAACCTTAAAGTGTGCCCCTGATTGTTCCTTGGCAAGTGAGGCTTGCCATCAGCATCAATCACCTGATTGGTGGTGATAACAAGCCTTGCAGGGATTGGCTGTGCTTGTGAATTACTAACTGGCATGTTTCAATTAGGAACTCTACAGTGCAGCCAATAGTACTGACCAGCATTTACACTAGTAAGTTCTGTTGCATCACCTGATGACTGACAGGAACTGACAGGCAGGCCACCTTGCCCACCTACCATACTCAGGGGAACTCTGGATCAGGCCCAGCAGCTGGATCCTATCCCCCACCCCTGTTCCACAAGAAAGGCCAAGAGGTAAACAGAACAGAGCTCCAGTCTCCATAGGCTTTGGAGTATGAATCTACTGGAGTAGAAAGAAGTGAGCCAGAGAAAGGAGAGGTGGCAGCTCTGCAGTTAAATCTGGAATCTACTGATTGGTCAGCTAGTGGTCACATGTGACAATAAGAGTTATATGGTTTCTGATTTGAGAAGAAATGCTCCAATGTTTAGAGGCTGTGCAATGCTGCAAGAAGAGAAAAAGAGGTGCCTCCCTGAAGGCTGTTTGGCCTGGAAAAGAGTTTTCCACAGAACTCTGATCAACCTAAGACAGCTGCGGTTATGGATCTCTATGGCATTATCTTACTTTCCCTATTTTATTGGGGGGGGGACATAATTATAAAAAAGAAAAAGAACTGTGCTGTTTAAAACAATTGTACAAAACATGTCTATAACATCCTATATAATGCCATGTCCAAAATTTCTATACACTGAAAGGTTATTTATTAAACTAAGAAAATGCCTGCCTTCATATACCATTCATGACCCCATAAACTCTATTCAAATACTTTCTACTTCTGACTCTCTCCACCTTTTCCTTTTACCTGGTTGTAAAGCTGGAAGAGAGGACCATGGGCCATCAGCCATGTAGGATCTTTCTTCTGACACAGAAGAGGGGACCTTATGCAACTTCTTTCTCCTTTTCTTCTTCTTCTTTTTCTGAAGTTACACAACAAGACAAATCCGCTTTAAATCATTGCAATTTTAATGGTTAGAGGAGGGGTGGCTAACCTTTTATTGGCCCAAGGCCCAGATTCACCCTTGGCCAGCCCACTGGGGTTGAATGCCAGTGGTGTGGCCAAAATACACTCTCATGCTACACTCGTGGGAATAATCACACAGCCTCCTGCTTCAGCTGATCTGTGCCGATCAACTGAAGAGGGAGTGTTATCACTCCCTTCCTGCTCATAAAATGATTAATCTGATGACCAGGGAGGAAGTGAGTTGTGTTTCCAATAGGGAGTGGGCTGAGCAGAGAGAAACAAAAAACAACAATGGCTTTGCAACTGCCACAACAGATGGGGACTTGGAGGCAGGGAAAAATGCTTTGGGTGGTTAGCCAATCCCGGATTAGAGTGACAAAGAAGGACCTGGATGACCAGAGTTAAAATTCCCACTGAGCCTTGAAGCTTGCAGGGTGGCCTAGGAGCAGTCACTCTGAGGATGGGGGGGGGGGGCAGTGAGCAAGGGCAAAGAACAATGTGGTCCCACTGAGCCCCTTTAAGGAAGGAGGGAGGAGAGATAAAAAGTAAAACAATCAGCAAGGTTGTAGGTATCAAACTAGCACCAGTTCCTTCCATTTTAAAATAGTTTTATAACTGATGATTGAGAGTCAGTGTGATGTAGACATTAGAATGTTGGTCTGGGGCTTGGGAGATTCAGGTTCAAATCTCTTCTCAGCCATGAAGCTCACTCAGTAATCTTGGGCCAGTCACTATTTTTCAACCTCTCTCTCTCTCTCTCTCTCTCTCTCTCTCTCTCTCTGTGTGTGTGTGTGTGTGTGAACTGCCTAGAGGAGGGTTACTGTTTTTTACAGTTAAGTGGTATACAATTTTAAAAATAAAATAATAAATACCCTCAGAAGGAGAGATGATTTTCCATGAAAACATGGAAAAGAAGGAGAAAGTGCACATCTGACCCTTTTCATATTTAGCCTCAGTACAACAATGCTTTCAGTTTAAGAGCATTCAGAACACCATTCCTCATACTGCCATCAAAGTATGAATTTTGTAATTTTGCTTCAGTGGAAGGATACAAGCAGATAAAGGGCCACTAACCACAGAAGGGAAGATGTCAAGGATACAAGTTCAGCTGTGAATGATAACAGCTGCAGATGAAAGAGGAAGTGTGGCATGATGACTTATGCCCCAAGATCAGGCGCAGCAGCACAGCCCCCAGCACAAAAGACTAGAATTCACAGCTCTATCTCTCACCTGTGGCTGGTCTCCATCTTGCACCTCGGATTGCTCAGGGGTGAGGATGAGCTTGGTGTCTGAGCCATCGCTGCGAATGCAGAACTTGGTTAGGCTGAAAACAGAACAGGCAGTGCTGATTTCTTACATACCAATCCATCTACAATGCAATAAATAAAAGCTTCACCTCCTTTGTCGGCCCATCAAGCCTTTGCTACTGGAGTTCTAGTCTGAACTCCCAGAATTTCTTCAGAAAGAAGAAATGCCTTCAGTTTTTGTTTTTTTAAAATACAAAAACAAGAAGTAACAAAATAAAAAATTTACACCATGTAAATTATAATAAAGGTACCCCTGCCCGTACGGGCCAGTCGTGACTGACTCTAGGGTTGTGCGCTCATCTCGCTTAAGAGGCCGGGAGCCAGTGCTGTCCGGAGACACTTCCGGGTCACGTGGCCAGCGTGACGAAGCTGCTCTGGCGAGCCAGCACCAGTGCAGCGCACGGAAACGCCGTTACCTTCCCGCTATAAAGCGGTACCTATTTATCTACTTACACTTAGGGGTGCTTTCGAACTGCTAGGTGGGCAGGAGCTGGGACCGAATGACGGGAACTCACCCCGCCGCGGGGATTCGAACCGCCGACCATATGATTGGCAAGTCCTAGGCACTGAGGTTTTACCCACAGCGCCACCCGCGTCCCCGTAAATTATAATAGTTTAACATAATTTCCCTCTTCATGTGAAATCCATTTGCAATGTGGAGAATTTCTGTATATTTCATCTTAATATTATAATTTGTATTTAATCTCTTTTCCATAATTTGAGGAAATGCTTTGATAAAAGTTGCTCCATGTGTCCCTTTAGTAACATTTATACACAGGGAAACTTCTCTTATAGCCCATTCACACAAATAGCTAACCTCTCTACTTGTACCTATGAGATTATGTACATTGAGAATGGTGTTATGACACCTCAGATGCCTGGAAAAAATGGAAGTGCTAATTTTTCCTCCCCTCAGAGTGACTTCATTAAATTACCTGCTGTGACTCTAGAACAGCTTCTAGATAAGCTCAGTTATATGAAAAGAAACTTGGCATCAGTTTTACTCACTCTTTCCCAGATGCTAATCCTGTAGAGTCTTCCACCTGGATCTCAGGATTGGTATATCCAAGGCTTCCTACATAAAACTGCATTTCCTGAAACGTGCAAGAGTTATTTTAAAACAGAGGCAAGTGAACAACCCAGGCATCCTGGCAAATTAGTTTCCCTCTCTTTATTGTAAGTCAAAATTACTGTAAAACCCTGTTTCTACAAATGCCTCCATACTGTGGGGCAAGGAAGGAACATTTGGTTATTTAGCTCAGGTACCTGTAGATTTCAACATCATCAATACTTTTTAAAAGCTTGGTCCTATAATATATTTTCCCAGAAGGAGGTCCCAGTATGTTCCATGGGGTTTGTTCCCAAGTAAACATGCATAGATTGCAACATCTTAAAAAATCTCAACCAAAATAAAAATGAGAGCCACTTGCATATAGTTCATTTTTTCTAGTTGTATTTTAGATGATAAAAAGATGAAAGGCTTGGGCAATAGTTTATGAACTATATAAAATTATGCTGTGTTTAGTTGAGCACCAACACTATCAATCACTTCATTTAAATGTCATTAGCTCCCTATTAATGCCATGTTCAAATCATGGCTTGCACCTCCCTTTGACAGCTTGGTTTTAGTCTGCACAAGTTTCTGCATAAGTTTCTTGCATATTTGAAATTCAGCTCAAAGCTAGATTCGAGTATACAAGCTAAACTGTCTCTCACCATGCAGCACTGAGAGACTATGGAAGATCACTTTGTACCCAAAGTGCACAAAATCCACTTGGAATGGATGATTTCTTTAAATTGTACAACTGAATTTATTGTCAATATGAATACTGTCTATACATTCCAAGACAGGATTGATCAGGCATATGCTGCATGAGAATCAATTTTTTAAAATTCTTTTTAAAATTATTCTTTTTTAAAAAGTTGTAAATGCCGTGTTTCTCTTAAAAGAATAATTTGGTCAGTATTAAATGATCCAAATATAAGGATCATTTATATAAACCAAATCAATTCCCTCTGCTAGAAAAATTGAGTTAAAGGAGATTTTTCTATCTATATCAGGGTTGGGAAATCCCAGGACTATGGGTGCAACTTGGCTTGGCATGGGTCCCAATTGGGCCCACAAGGTCATTTCATCCAAACCTGATGCCAGGTGTGGGGCATCAATTGGATCAGCTGCCCAACTGATTTCCCCGATCCCTGCAGAAAGCAGCTTTGCCAGCTCTTGAGAGAAAGACCTTTTATGCTAAGATTTTAAATACATTCCCAGTGTAGGTTTTAAAACACCACCACCACAGTGCTGCCTTTTACACTTCACCTCTAAAGAGCAGGCAGAGCACTTTGACTCTCAATCTCAGTAATGGGTGTTACCATGCTGAGACTGGAAGATAAGCTGCAGGAGCCAGCAAACTACTCTGTGTGCCTTGTCAGGTCAGATCCAGCCCATAGGTCACAGGTTGGTCACCCCTGCAATACCTGAATAGGCCTCACTTGAGGAGGGCAGGATTCTAGCTGCTTGACAGGATCCTTCATCTCCTGAGGGGGGCGTTGCTGCACAATGTATTCGTAGGTGGTCAATCGATGCCACACTAATGAAACGGAAAAGAGAAGAATTAAATGATAGAAAATCTGCCAGCTCAGGCACTGCATGAATAAAGGTGGAAAAGCTCAAAATTATTAACTAACATTCTCCTTATTGGTTCTCAATAAATAATACATTTTTCATTGTTAAATCAAAGAGTAAACACTGCATGCAAAATACTCCAATCCAAACAAAACAATCATGGGTGGTCCTTGGATAACTGTGTTGGGAGAGTACTATGAACTCCACTGTCTATCCAGACTTATCCAGACTTGGAATCTTCAAGCCTTGTCAGAGGAATTGGCCACTCTCCAGGCACCTGGCTTGAGTTCCTTGTTGACCTCCCCGTCTGCGACTCCCGGCAAGATACAGGCGAGGCCTCTATCGGCGATCCTCCTCAAACGTGAGAAGAACACACCACTCTTCCCCTCCTCCCTGCCATCCCCAGGGAGGGGAAAGAGACAGACAGAAATGTATCTACATGCCTTTATTTCTGTCTTTTGCAGCAGTACAGAGAAACATGTCTGCACTCTCTTAACACCAACAGCAGAGAGAGAGAGACTCCACCCCTGTACTTCCAGTACAGGTCAGATGACACTCTGAGCTAACATCCGGTGCTCAGTACAGTGAATAGACTGTCCCTTTGTTCCCACGGTACAGTCCCAAACATCAACATCCTGTTTGGCTTTCCAGCCAGCTGCAGCTCACTGCTGCATTGCTCCTTTTTCGTAACAAAGTGAATGTATGCCCCAGCCACCTTCACCTTCAGCTGCATTCACACTTTAGAAAGATATTTGAATGGGAAGGTACAATTGCCATTCTGCTTATTACTACCCCACCATTTGAAATTCAGGATAGACACACACTCAACCACTGGGGAATGGAAGCAGACAACTTGTTGGAATAAAAATGCTAAGAAGAGTAAGATGAACCTGAGCAGAGAGAAGAGAGACCAACTACATCAGCTTAGCTGGGACCAACTGCTATTTAGCTTCTCTTCTCCCAAAACTGCCTCCTCAGTGGCCAGTTCAGCTGGTCACTTATAAGGGGAATTATGTAACTTTAAGAGCCAGTGTGGTGTAGTGGTTCAGAGCGGTAGTCTCGTAATCTGGTGAACTGGGTTCGAGTCTCCACTCCTCCACATGCAGCTACTGGGTGACCTTGGGCCAGTCACACTTCTTTGAAGTCTCTCAGCCCCACTCACCTCACAGAGTGTTTGTTGTGGGGGAGGAAGGGAAAAGGAGATTGTTAGCCGCTTTGAGACTCCTGAAGGGGAGTGAAAGGCGGGATATCAAATCCAAACTCTTCTTCTTCTTCTAAGACTTAGTATCTGAATTTGCTTGTCTTTTCTCTTCTCTCATTTCCTTTTCCTTTTGTATTGTGCCTTAGATTGGAAGCCCGTGTGCAAATACTTACTTCTTTTTATAGTCTAGGCAGAGTATTTATATAGACAATAGAAAACATATCCCAGTTGCTCCTTACACAGCATGTGCACAGCGGGGGTTCCCAATTAACATGAACTGCAGGATACAAAGTGATACCTACTGAGGTAAATGTGGAAGATCAGCAGGTGACCCAACAGGAACAGAGTCAGCAGCCCCAGAAGAATCAGAACCCCAGTCAAACCCAAAATGGCAGGTCCTTGTGTCTCAATGGGAGCAGCAGGAAGGAACACAAACCACACATCCGTCTGGTTCTTCAGGCCTAGAAAACAGAATTATGCAAATAAGGAAACTGAAGCCAAGTCTGGAGCCATGGAACATCTGAAGGGGAGTGATACTGAGAAAGTGCAAAATACCTTTGCTGCTCAGATCAAAGGGAACAATTTCTAAGAAACTTTGAGCTTGAACATCTCTTTATAGATGTTAACTATTTAAGAAATTGCATCATGCCGCTCTTGATCATAGAATGCTGTAATAGTGTATGATAATTGGGATACTTAATCATTAGAGGTGCTCCGTGAGGGAACCTAGTTGAACAAAGTGTTCACATTGAGACAGTTCCTCATGCAGAGTGTGGGTTGATACCTTCAAAGTGCTGGTCTGTGCGCAGTCTCATGGGGTTAAGGAAGAACTCCACAAAAACGTAGCAAGCAATGAGTAGGATTAGGAGAAGGCCTAGGATGGCAGATATCACGCTGTTCAGAAAAAGCCTGCCAAGGAAATAGAAGGTCAGTTAGCACTACTCTGTCTGTTGAATGATCCAGGTTCTAGCATTATGAGAGGAAGAAGGTCCTTCCCATCTACTTTCTCCATACCATTCATAATTTTATACAACTTGCTTTTCTTTCTAAACTAAAAAGCCCCCAATGTTATGGTCTTTCCTCATAAGAGAGTTGCTCATGCAACTTTTTCCTGCTCTACAACATCCTTTTTGAAAGTCCATTCCCAGAACATGGCACTCCGAGAGGTCACACCATAGATTTGTATAACAGCATTATGATATGGCAGTTTTGTTTTCAATTCTGTTCCTAATGACCCCAAACATGGAATTCGTATTTTTATAGCTAATGCACACTGGGTTTGTGTTTTTATTGAACTATCCACCATGACCCTTAGATCCCTTTCCTGGTCAATCATTGTCTGCTCAGACCACATCAGTGTATAAGCGAAGTTGGGAATTTTTTTTTTGCCTCAAAGGCCAGAGGGATGTGCATGTACTGTGGCACACACTACAGAACTCTATCCTAATTTAAGTTTGACTTGTGACACACATGCCAAAAAAGGTTGGCATCACCTACTTCAGAGCTACTAAAAGAGGACAAAGCTTAACCTTCAGTAGCCAGAAGGAACAGAGCAAGAAAGTGAGCTCTATGTCCAGCTGTTTGAGTTAGGGTTCAAAATAAGCATTTGGACAGAGATCCCTAATATTTGGCTAAATAAGTTCTAATCTGTGCTCCCTTTTAAAAGCTACTGAAGAAGTACGCATGCAATTCTGGCTGCAAACTTAAGGGTGCTCTCTGATTTGTATGGAGTATGCTGTAATTTTGAAAAGGAGAGAAACTAGGTATTTGGACAATAGTGGCTGAAGCACAAGGCACAGGGATGATTCAACAGTCTTGCACAGTAGCTTTGCTTGTGTGGATTAATGCTGTGAAAGACATGACCCATACCAATAATTCCTTTCTCCCACACAGTTGTTGAGCCACATGCAGTGATGATCAAATCCACACACACACTTGTTGCAGGTCCCACAGTGCTTTGATCTGGAGCTCCTAACAATAAGAAAGGAATGTTCATGTTAGAGTGGATAAAACCTGCAAAACAGAACTAATTACAGTTTGTTGCTCATGCCTCTCACAGTCTGGGATGCTACGTTAGATGCCTAAAACACAAAGAAAAGGGGAAGAATAGCACACCTAAATCTACTAAAGACCAACATTACACACTCTCTTTCTTTCTCTGTTTCTTTCTCTCAGGCTACAAACCCAATTGAGCCTACTTATATATTTTGCAACAATGCAACTCCCACTTAAATGCAATGAAGCAGCACGAGACCATTGCTCTTTTCTTAATTGCTGTTGACTTTTATGCTTCCTGCCAGCACACCTGAGCAAGATCATTCTAGCCTCTCTCTTAATGCTACAATAAAAATACTGAAAGACGAGTATGTTGGGCAAGCCAAAATCCCTACCTAACCACTGTGTCCAATGCACAAACACAATGGTGCTGGTGGTTATTGTGCTGTCCATGACTTCCTGCCACCAATGTAGCAGAGCCACTGGCTTCCAGTGAAATGAAGCAACAACAAAAACACAGGACCCTACCAACAGGAAAAATCATTGCCCTGGCAGTATTTGTTTCCATAACTTGAACTGAGGAAAAATTAAGGACTGAACTGCTTCTGGAACCACAAATGGGTATTTAGTTGACAGCCTTGTGCTCAATAAATCTCCAGTTCTCCAATGAAGGTAGAATATAACTCCACAACTATTACACATATGCTTCATCTGATATTTCCAATACTTGACTGCTGTCTGTGAGAGGATTCAATGCAATAAACTTACAGAAAACACAAGGAAGAGAAAGGTTATTACTTACACATTGACATCACAGATGTGACAGTGGCGGTTTTCAATGACGTGAGCATGCTGGCTTCGATTGAAAGTAGTGAGTGGCCCCTGGTAATTCTTCTCTCGCACACCGTCATCAGCTGGGTCAATAGAAACTGCTGTAAGATGAACTACTAGATGGCAGAGAAAAAACACTCCGGGACACTGAAGTGGACACAGTTAAGGGTTGTCTCTACAAATATACTTCTCATTTTCAGGGTCCCATTTAAGCGGGCAAAATATCAGTTTTTAATCTCTTCAGTTAAGAAAAAGGTCTCTTTTGTCACCAAGTGAGTCAAAGGATTCAAATTACCATTCATTCACAAAGGCACAGGAGAAGTAAAATTAACAAGGGATGTGTGCAGCTTTGAGAGCAAAAGGACACAGCAAAAGGGCATGAGCCATTAGTGTACAGAAAATTGCATTTATTCTTTCAGAAAGCGTAAGATATTACTCAAATGCAACAATCCTACAAATTGCAGTAAAGTAAGGGTATAGTCTGAACGAGAGGAACACGCAGTGATTTTGCTCACTAAAGGTTTTCTACCATTCCTAAATAACCTCACCAGTAATTGTGACAGCTGTATTTGCAATACTATGCTGAAACATCAACATGTAAGGATACAATATACCCAGCAGGAACCCAGTGCGCAGGCAGGAGTGGCACAAGGACACCAAAGCCAACCACTGCAAAGAAGAGGTAGAGCAGCCAAGCAACAAACTGGAATGGATGTGGAGGCCAGCTCCAGCCATTTCTCCGGGCATGCTGGGACTGGACCTCAGGAGCTGCTTCATCACTCTTCTCCGGTGCTGTCTTATTAGGTGGTTTATTGCAGATGTTCATCTACCAGAAGCAGAAAAGAAAAATGAGAAAATGCTTTCTTGAAAGAGGCCCAGAAGACAATTTTTACAGGGATAAAACCTCTCTCAGTCAAAGCTTTCTGTGCAGAAAAGGCCTGTCTAAACACCAGAGAGGTGGCAACATAACGTGCCACAGCTTGTGTAGCTTTATTTATCTGAAAGATCAATTGCATTGCCCAAATATACCCACTTGACTACTTTGATCTGCGGAACTGGCACTGTTGCAGGTGCCACATAATATAATTTGTTCTACATTTGTAGAAAATGGATCTTTAAGTCTGGCAGGACCCACACTTTGGAACTTCCTGCCTATTGACATCAGGCAGACATCTTCACTGTCCTCTTTTCAGTGCTTGCTAAACACAGTTTTCTTCAGACAAGCCCAACCTGATTTGTAGAATGTTCATGTGTTTTAATCTGTTTAGTTTAATGCTGATTTAAAAAAAACAAAAACATTTCAAACAGTTGCTTTTAAAGGTTTCTACTGATAACATTGTTCTGTAAATCACTTGGAGGTTTTTAAAAAGCAAGCAGTGTATAAAAATTATGAAATAAATAAATAATAAAAAGACCACCCCATAAGACAATACTGCAGCTTGCCTTGTCTCTTTGGAGGTTTGCTTAGACCAGGTCTAAAGGTTACATCTGTTATACTGTTAGGCGTTGAGACAGGTGCAATGTTGCCAAGTGTGCTATTGCTCTAGGTGAGCACTGTGTAATGCTTTGCATCCCAACCCCCGTAGCTGAATGAGTATGTGTGTTTTAGTGCACTGTGGAAACATATCTCACCAAACATAAGTTGTTCTGAAGCAAAGTTTTCCCTCCCCTGTCCATATGTCTGCCTTTAACCAGTATGTATGTCTAATGACTTTCTGCATTTATGCTAAGTACTTTGACAAGCAAACAGAGGGAAGAGGAGGACTGGATTATCTCCACAAGTTCAGCTACTTTGTCTTCTGCACAAATCTAATACAAGCACCCTTACTTGATATTTATTACAAACAAGCAAAGACATCACATGAAAACTCTTAGCTTCACAAGGGGTGTGTAACCTGGAGTAGCCCAAGGCCATGGAAGACTATAAAAGTTGCAGAAGTCATGGAGGCTTCCCTTACCCCAGCCGCAAGATGGTGGCCTCAGTTTCTCAGGCTCCTTTAATCTGATCATGTAGCTCTTAAAATGTTCTCATAAGGCCCACAGTCCTTTTCTCTGTAGATAGTCAGAGTAAATTAGAAGGATTAAATAATATCAAAAACAATCTTTTGAAAAAATACGATACATAAAGGCTTCTGTGCCAAAGCCTTCAATACAAAAATGATACTTTACATTTTAAGTAATACTGTTTTTAAAAACAATTTTGTATCTTTTGCTGGGTACTTTTTGACCCATTTCATCTCTATCCAGTGAAGACAGGGGTGATGGAAAAGCCCACCAAATAGGTCATCCTTTATTGCAAAGCAAAGCCCACTTCATTCTCCAATATATGAAACTAGCTGAACTACAAAAGCTAAAAAGAGGCAAGCTATCCACTGTCTGCTTTGGCTGGTGAAACTGGAACACAACAGACACTTCTACAAGAGGTGAAAATTCATGATTCTCCTTTAACAGAGGTTTTTTGTTTTTTTTAAGCAGAGGCTAAAGTAACTGATTTTATGCATTGGCAGAGGAGTGACTTTTGATGCCACTCCCTAGGGAACACAACACTAGTGTATTGCCAGGTCTCCTAGACACTTTCTTATAAATACACACTACAACACAAGGACTGCACACGTGTGCTCACAATACTCAAATACACAACACCCAAATTTTTGTAGTCAGGGACTGCAAAAATTTTTTGAAAGAGAAAGAGTCTCAAGTGGCAACCACAGAAAGCTTGTGTAGTATGTAGTATTGTCTGGATGTCTCTAGTTAAAATCTGATCTCAATCATGTACACACTAGATGGGTTTAGAGAAGCTATTTTTTTTCCTGATCCAGACTTCTTCATTTGGAAAACAGAGATAGTAATATTAGACTGTTTTACAGGATTGTTGTGAGGATTAAAAGAAAGTGTTGTAAACATTCATATTATTATGAATCACAGCAGATGATTAAGGAGACAAAAATATATAAATCTATAGCTCTGCTAGACAGCACTTAACAGAAGCACAGGTAGTACTGTGCCCAGAGCTCAGAAACTGCTCACGCTAATGAAATTCCCTGCCGCAAAATGTGCCTAGACAGTTTTGAACACTGTCTACCACCTTAGTAAGAACTAGCTGGTAAGTGGGTGTTTAAAAGTTATCAAAGGCTAATTGAGGAAGGAAATATAGTGATCTGGTTGGTTGGAACTGGAAGCAAACATATTGTCTCCAAGCTGGGAAGAAGGGGAGTTATTTTTCCACATGCCTTTCCGAGTTCTGAAAAGTGAAAACTGAGGCACCTTTCAGAGAAACAGCAGCCCATGCCTTAGAAAATTAGGTGTAGTATATCAAGAGATGTTCAGAGGCCACTAGTATGGAGAAATTAAAGTGTCAGTTCATAAATCACAACTGTCCAAATGCCTCAAATAGGATTTAGGAAAAAGGCAGTCAGTGGAAGGAAAGCACAAATAATGGAAAACTTGCATTTTCAGTTCTGAACATGCTGCACGGTCCAGCCATGCCCAGGAAGCTCAGTTAAACATCAAGAGAGCCGTGGACTCAAAAAGGTTGAAAACCTCTGGTCGAAAGTGTCTAGCCTCCTTGAAAATAAATCTGGATGTCTGAACACTGAATAATAAACAGGTTGTCTTGAAGCACCCAGTGTATAACTATACCTGTAACACAGGATAACTAAGACTTCATCCATCTGATGAAGTGGACTGTAGTCCAGGAAGGCTTATGGCCATAATAAATTTGTTAAGTCTTCAAAGTCCCACAAGCATTTAAAAAAAAAAACTTATACTATTGTGTGTCCCAATCAAAGGGGCTCACTCCTAGGAAAGTGTGCACAGATAACTGCCTGCATAACTTCCGAGTAAACGTGTACAGGATCGTGCTTGCTATTCACTTCCGTAGAACTTTTATTATAATTCTAGCACTAATTAAACAGAAGTAGATTTTTAAAAAATTAAAATAGATTTAAACTCGACAGCCAGAGAGAGAGAGAGACCAGCTCTTCTCAAGCCAAGACGCCGGTGATAGCAGAGTCCCTTCCTCCATCCCAAAACATACTTCCATAGAGGTTCGTGGAAAACCACGAGCACCCCATAAGTCCACGATCCCCCTCCCCCCGGCCGGGAAAGGCCTCACTCCGGCGGCTGTATAAATCCAACCCCCACCCACCGGGGGAAGGGGGGCCCGAGTCCGTCCTCCTCACCTTCCCCCCCCAGCTCAGTGGCAGTTCCGGGCGGCCACGCACCCGCCTCATGCCCGGGATCGGGAGGGCGCTGAGGGGCCCCCTTCCTCAGGGCAGGCCCTGCTGGACCAAAGGCTCCTCGGCGCGGGTCAGGCCGCGGGGCCCGTCTCCATGGCGACAGCAAGAGCAGCGGCCCGACTCCTCCCCCATCCTTCCAAGCCCCGCCCCGCCTCTCTCTCCCTGCCGCTCGCAGTTTCCTCAGCTATCCCCCAGGTAGCCCGCCCCCTCCTGGCAGGCACAGGGTACTGCAGCTCTCGCCGCGAAAACACGGGCGTATCCGGCGGCTTCAATTTTTTTGGCACCCGAAAGTCCTAATGCTCGTCGAAGGCCAACGGGCTCCTTATCACGCTGCTCGCTTCGAAAGAAGACTCGTTCGTTCCTCACAGCCCCACACAAACCTCGTTTCAAATACAGAGGGGACCAACGCCTCCAGCTTGAAGCAAAAGGCACACCAACTCCGGACCAAAAGTGCCGAAAGAGAAAAGTTTCTTCTCCTGCTCATAATATTAGAACTCCTGGACATGCAATAAAGCCGAGTGTCTGAAGATTCAGGACAACCAAAAGAAAATGCTTCCTCACACAGCACGTAGTTGTCAGTCATATGGCTGTGGGGTGGGGGTTTTTTAAGTTGGAATGTATACTTTTGTTTATATTTTGTGTTATTATTTATTGCATTTGTATCCCACATCTTCCTTCAAGGAGCTCAAGATGGAATACAGTTTTCCTCCTCCATTTCCCACAACCCTGTGGGGTAGGTGAGGATGAGAGTGAGTGACAGGCCCAAGGTCACTCAGTGAGCTTCATGGTCAGGGACGGATATGGTCTCCCAGTTCCTACTCTGACACTCAAACCCAGGCATCCCCAAACTTGGCCCTCCAGCTGTTTTGGGACTATAACTCCCATCATCCCTAGCTAACAGGACCAGTGGTCAAGGATGATGGGAACTGTAGTCCCAAAACATCTGGAGGGCTGAGTTTGGGGACCACAACATTGCACTGATTGCCTACAAGGGAACTTCCATTTGTACTATTTCATTTCCTCAACTTTTAAGATTACTTTATTTGCTTTCTGCGTTGGCTGCGAATTCTCCTTGCACTTTTGTTGCTCCTTTTATGTTTATTTTGATACTAAAAAGAAAACGCCATTCAGTTGTTAATGGTGTTTTACAGAAAATGGTTTCTCTTTTTTGTATTTGCTATTTTTTAAAGATGTTTTAACCCATGTTGAAAACCGTTTATTTTGTTTAGCTGGTATAGAAATTGATTAAATAAATGGAATTCACTAGTACAAGTTGTAGTGATGGTCTCCAATTTGGTTGGTTTAGAAGATAAGTCAAATTTATAGAGAATAATGGATACTAGCCACACAATGGTTGTGCTCTACCTCCATAATATTGGAGGCAGTATTTTGTTGGAGATATCAGTTGCTGGGAATCACAAGCAGACTTGCTTATGTCCTGCTTATGGCTTCCCATAGGGAACTAGTTAGCCACTGTGAGAACAAGATGCTGGAGTAGAGGGCCCATTGGCCTGATCCGGCAGGACTCTTGTTATGTAGTGACACTTTTTCTTCCATGTCACTCATGTATCTCAGAATATCAAAGACACAGTTGCCTCTGAACTTATGTAGAAAGTCTTGCACCCCCTACAACCACCCACCTGAAATTAAATGACAGGACTTCTGTGGTCTAGCACAGGGGTGGTCAGCTTTAGAGTAACTCCCTAAGGGGGTTGCATCGGCAGTGGGCAAAGCCAGAGACAAAGAGTGTTCTGGATTAAGTAATCTGGAATAGAGACTCCTGATTCAGCTTTCACCAGATTAAAGTCCCAGTCCTGTGCTAGTCTACTCAGATGTAAGCCACACTGAGTTTGATGGTATTACTCTCAAATAGATATACAGAATATATTTATTTGTTTGTTTGTTTGTTTGTTTGTTTGTTTGTTTCTTTGTTACAGCTATTGTTCTGGAAAGAAAGTGAAAGCTATTTATTTTTTACTTTAGTGTGCTATACAAACAGGTATGGCAGAAGCATACCAGCTTGTTTTCAGATAGCTAAGGAAAATCATCTCTTCCCTACAACCAGGGGAAAAGTTGTTTAAAAAATCAATTTATGTTTATCAAATAAAATAATGGTGCAATTGTTCTCAAACTACATAGAAAAAAAAGGAGAGGGAACTCACTTAAACAAGAAAAATGAGGAACAGAACAGGAAGGAACTCTGATGAAGCAGAAGAATAGGGTAGTTTCAGGTGATGGACGCTGCATAAAATGAGATTGGGGGCCACTTGGAGTGCTGGTTGCTGACCTGTGCTCTAGCACTTCTTTTCTTACAAACTGAATACTTATTTGGTAAGAGTAGATATATGAATGTTATCCACATGTACACAACACGTGTGAATACTGTCTCAAAATACTTGTTTCTGTTCCTTTTGTACAAAATCAGAAAATGAGTTCAAAAACCTGGTATCTACAAACATGTTGAATTTAAACTTCTTTTTTAAAGAGCAATTTCCCTAGGCAATAAAAGTGGCTTTTAGAGTTCCATATTATCTCAACAATTTATTCTGAAGGTTGTACTTACATTAAATGTATCTACAAACATGTTGAATTTAAACTTCTTTTTTAAAGAGCAATTTCCCTAGGCAATAAAAGTGGCTTTTAGAATTCCATATTATCTCAACAATTTATTCTGAAGGTTGTACTTACATTAAATGACTAAAAAGCTTCCATTGTGGCTCCAGTAAGGCTATACACACAGACGCTTCGTTTTTGCCTGAAAACCAGGACACTCTGTCAAATGCAAAAGCTTGCATACCTTCACCAGAAAAGGCCCCAAATAAAGAAAAAACCCAACAACTTCCCTCTTGGATTACTGCATTTCTTTCACTTAGGCTGTACTGGACTCCATTCTCTCTCTTGAGGCAGCAGCACTGATGGAAACTGACTGGCTGGGAAACATGAAGAAATCTCTAAATAGAGCTACTGGAGTAAATCCAAAACACTGGAAGAAACCTAATGTGCAAAATATTTAAAAACAAGTGGGTTGCCACTCCCTTTCTGGCCTATGACGATGTGGAAGCTGTGCAAGGCCACACCCTATCCAGCCTTCAAAATAAAAACCCCATTTAAAAGTTGAAATACACAGAGAGAAATAATGGAGTACGTATTTTCCTTGAAGAAGGGGAGGGTACTGAAGCGAAGACATTGAACGGGGCTAGCAAGCTTTAATCAGACGACAGACAAGGGAAGTTGTATTTTAAGGAACAGACGTCATCCTTCCTTTCTTCTTTATCTTCAATGTTCCCCTTTCCTTCTCTAACCAGATGCTACTTCCAATTTGGGTCATGGGGTGGATGAAACCCCCCCCCCATTCCTAGCTTCTTCTTTTTTAAGAGTGCTTCTAGCATATGTAAGATACGAGACAAAATGTTCAGGCAGTATTCTCATGTTTTGTGAGAAATCAGGCCACTCTCCCCTTTTCATTGTTTTACTTCTGCTCCACCACAACCCCAGAAAAATTCCTGTAGACCCCCATAATGTGAGAATGCACCCTCCCCAAATCTCTTCCTGTTCCTTCTGATCATATTTTCAGGGTAATGGTCACCTCAATGCTTTTCTCCCTCCTGTTCTCAGCATCTTATTTATTTAACTAACTAATTAAATTGCATCCTGCCCTTCGGGATACGAATCTGTCCAAGGCCAAGGGATATTAAAAAGTCACCAGGATATTTCTCACACTGCAGTTGATCATAGATCTTATTTAGCCGAGGATGGAAAAAGTTCAGTAAGAGCAGGCCATGAGGTGGTCTTTGCTGCCTCTCCTGAAATCCTTCCTGCAGGACAGCTGATGGAGATCACCTTGGGGAATGTCCAGCAGTTTGGCTTGAGCGCAGGAAGCGTCTGATGTCTCCAATGCCCTCAAGCAACTTGGCCTCACACTCCAATCAGCTGGGGCTGGGGGTGGAGCAGCGAGCTGGGGGTAGTGGGTCAACATGCCCTAGCATGGTTGCTTCCAGTTGTTGTCTTCCAAATGCAGGGCTATGTGCTAATATTTCTGCTGTAGGAAGGCGGGGTGCTACTTCTGTGATGCCCATCCTGTCCATGTCCTCTTGCAAAACAGCTCCCCTCACCACTCTGCCCTGAATTGGGGGCTAGATGCCACCAGTAAGGTATACTAAGCGCCTCTCCCTAAACAAAGCCCCCTGAAGACATTCCTATGAAGCCAAAGTGGAGAACCAGCAGGAGGTCACCTCCACCTTCTGTTGCTGCTGGTTTATTTTAAGGGGGAGGCTGTCAGGCCCTCTGTCCCCTCCCGCTGCAGGAAGCAGCTTCAACCCCAGGCCCAGTCTTGTTCCCTGTCTTCCCTCCAACCATCCTTTCTCTTCCTTGCTTGGAGATACCACTGGTCCTTACCATTAGTTTAACTTGCCCCCCCTGTCCCTGCTTCCAAGGAGGCTCTAATAGCCTTGTGCCGAAGAATAAATACGTTTCCAGGAGTGCTACAAATCCACAACTCACAAAGATTTGAAAAAGGGATTTCCAGCTCCTTCATCAAAGGACGTCAGATTCACAAGAAGCCAGTGCAGGGTCTTTTGGGTAGTGGTGCTAGGTTTCAGAAATTCACTGCAAAGGGAGGCTCATCTAACCTCATCAATTCAGCTTTGTTGTTATAGAGGACAGGGAGGCATACAATTGTGTATGAAATACTTACACACCACCTTTCGGCCAGAGGTTCCTACCTGCCAGTTTAAAAATAAAAATACACCAGGATTTAAATGAGAACTTCTTTCAAACACCTCAACTAGCCTCTTATTCTCTTTGCCTTAAATGGGATGCAATCTTTTGTGAACTCTGGCTTTAATTATTGTTTTGACTGTTGGAAGCTTATTGCTTGTTTTGTATTTTGGTTTTATTTACTGTGCCCACTTAGAAATGGGTCAACAAATGTGAAAGGTACAAGTTGTGATGATATAAAATCAACTTCAGCCACAAGCACTCTCATAGACTCTTACAGCCTTTTGGGTTTTTTTAATGAACCATTTCTTAAAACTCTGCAGTGCCTCCACCCTTAGATTCATATTACAGCATCACTTTATAAAGATATTTACACACCTCCAGCATCCAAGAGGTCCCCTCCCCACTTGCCACAAAGCAGATGAAGGCCAAGTATCTGCCTGGCAACAGTTCCCCTGAAACAATTGAGCCTTACAGTGCAGATGGAGAACCTGTGACCCTCCAGGTGCTGTGAGACTCCAAATCCCATCAACCCCAGGGAGCATGGCCGATGGTCAGGAATATGGGGAGGTGGAGTTTGGCAGCAACTGGGGGAGACACAGATTCCACAGCCCTGCCTTATAGTGAACTGCTGTCACAGAAGGGGAGGGTCAGCAGAGAGAAGAAACCCCTGACGTTTCTGATTGGTTAAAAAGAAATCACATCCCTGATAAGCAGCCACATGGAGACAACAGGTGGCATGATATCTATTTCCATGAGCACAGCTAAAAACGCTTCATCTGACGGCGTTCCTGCCGACGCTGCTTCTTTTCATTGGGCTCTTGGTTGGCGGCTGAAGAATCTGCAGTGAGCCAAGGCCCTAGGATGTTAACCCAGAGGAGATAGAGTGCTCGACCCGGAGCCTGCAAAAAAAGAGAGAGAGACAAATATCTTTTTTTTATACAGATCCTTCAGGTATGCAGCAACCCAAGTTACAAAATATATATATACCATTAACTATTTTCATACTAGAATGGTATTCTATTAGTTGCTATAAATAATAGGTGGTCTGAAACCATGTTCCTTTGTCATTGCATGCAAAATGAAGTCTGACCAAACAAAGTAAAAGCTATTTATCGTCATGTTTTTTCTTCTCACTCTTATTTCATAACCCAATTTTTCCATAAGCGTGAACTTCCAGGCCTGAACTTCTTTAACAAGATTGAGAAGCCTGACACTAATTCTCATTTCTCAAAGCTACCCCTTAATCTCTATATGACAGCATCAGAAGGGCAGTTGATTCAACAGTTCTCCTTGCACCTGGAATCTGGAGAAAAACTAGGACTTTTATTCAAACATCGTAAGATGTTGGATCAAGCCAAAGGCCCGTCTAGTCCAGCATGCTGCTCTCACAGGTGAACCAGACGCCTGCACCAAAAATTCCCAGCAAACTGGTGTTCTGAGCTTTATTGCCTCCAACAACAGACATGGTATTTACAGACTACCTCTTTGCAGAAATGACCTTTTACAGTCCTCTCCCAATTATTCGTTTCCAAAAAAGAAGAATAAAACGTTGTTTTGAACACAGATAAGAGTATAAGGTTGATCCAGGCAGGTAGTGGCTGGGATCTGCAGACACAGTGGAAAAGGAAAGTTAGAGGTTCATTATGTACCAAACAATGGAGCTAGAAAGACTCACCAAGAGCCAGAAGTACCACACATAGAGGGAAAAACAGCTGAGGACTTGGATTATGGCTGTAAGCAAGATCACATCCTTCAGATGCCTGAGGATAAACAAGAAGAAGCTGGTGTTTACGGGTTCAGAGCATAAAAGCCTTGCCTAGCCCTGTGGTCCCAAAACCTTTCACTAGCAGGAAGAGCTACAGAAAACCATCTCTGCCATAGAGTCTGGAGGAGAGGGGCTGCAGGCAGGGATGGCATGGGAGTGGTGGTGGTCTCTCTGTGTGTGTTCCAGAAATAGCCTGGTTAAAAACAACATGAAATATGACTATTTGATGCTGGCGCATAAGGTTCACTCGCCTAATCTATAGGGATAACAATTCAAAAACCTTATTGCTCACTAGGGAGCAAAATGCTGCCCCTCTTGGCTTCACCTCCCTAAACACAGCAAGATCCCTTAAGAGGCCACTGTGCTTTGCTGTCTTTCTCAGTCGCCTCTAGCGATGCCACTGATGCTGGAAGTGCCAGGGCAACAAAGGCATCCGGTATAGTATTTTCTGAGAACAGCCAAGGAAAATGTGAACTTTGAATCTGAATAAATCTATTATCCCACAGCTCATAAATCCCAGTTCTAAATGCATAACTGAGCTCCTTAGAGGAAATTCAAATCTTCATTGTTACAATCAATGACCATCATATACTTTTTAATCTATATTAAGCATCATCAAGTCCATTCAGATTTCTAAAGTTATTTGTAATTTGTTTGCACCAACTGGGATGGCAAATGGCAGAAAGGACAAGGAGTGAGAACAGCAACGTGTTTTAGGGGACAGTGAGAAGGAAGGACTTAGGAACTTCATTCTTCTTAACCACTGGGTGTACACAAGGAGGAAGGGTCCCCTCCCCCCGCAGTTTCTCAGTGAAGGAGCTGGAGAACAAAGCTCTGAGAAGCAGCCAATGGCTCCCCAAAGACACCAGTACCTTTATATGCTTCCTGCTCAGGGGTGAAGGAGATCTGTGTATGCACTCAGGCAGCAGATCCTGCTCACCTGGACTTGTGTAGTGTAGACACTCACTCTGCCATCCCCTGCTCCATATTCAGGTCAATTCCACCATCTGCAAGGCTGCCGTCATCCGCAAAAGAAGGCTTTGCCATGGAGCTCATTGAGCGGTAACTGGCCCCGTAGATCAGCAAACTGAACACAAATGCAATCTACAAGGAGAAGACAAAAATCAGGAAGGTAAAGATACCCAGATGGTACTGGGCTCCAACTTTCATCATCCCTGACACCACTGGCTATGCTTGGTGTGACCGCTGGGAATTGGGAGTCCAAAAACATCTGTAGTGTGACAGGTTAGCCATTCCTGGACTAAAGCATTTGGAGACTTTTAAAGTCATAGAACCACAGAACTGTAGAGACAAAAGGGACATTGTAGCACTCTTTCAACTACAGCATCTGTCCAGCTTTTGCTCAACTTAGGAATGAAGGACATGGTGGGGTGAGGAGAAGAGGAGGACATGAGAAAAGCTTTTTAAATTATACACAGCATGGAGAAAGTGAAAAAACTGAATGGCAGAAGATTCTGGACAAACTGCCTCCTCACACAATGCACATTTAACTTGCATCACTGTCAGCAGATGCGGTGATTGCCACTGCCTTAAGTAGCTTTTTACGGTCAAGAAGGTGGT